TGAGTTGTTTGTCTCATGAACAGTAAGAGAATTTTTCCAACCATAAAAAGAAGCAAGTGTACCCATAATGGACACTAGATAAATCCTTTCTGAGTTGAACTAGACAGAATCAAATTCACCTCCAGGCAGAAAACTACTAATCTGTTGAGAAAAAATAACCAATCTCAGAAGTTAAAATTTGGTGGAACATCATGAGATTCCTCATGTCTGGGGAATAGAAGGAAAATGGAGAACGAAGTTAGCATTTGTTTCAAGGAGGGACTTGTGTTCTTTAAGCTCAGGAGGGTGGGGCAGCTTAGAGGAGGAGACTGCATTAGGACATGGGAGCAGAGCCCATGCACAGCCATGGGCTGCTGAGAATGTCTCCTGGTTTGATCATTTCAGGAAACTATTTGCAAAGCCAGCTGCATTCGTTGAAGATGACCACAGTGTCATGGTTGATTAAACCACTGAAAATGCAGACAGCCGTCAACAATATCCCCTGGGTCCTGAAGATACCCAATCTTTCCTCCCCAGTGAATGATGCAGGAAGCTCTGAGGGGCCCCAGCAGCTGAGTCGGGGGCAGGGGGGCTTGGTGTCAGAGGCCATAGTTACATTTAAGCAGTCTTTCTCAACCTGGTTCTAGAGAACTAAGCCTTGGAGGTGATTATTTGAGTGACTATTTCACCATATCTTCCGAGGATGACCCGTAACTAGGATTATGATGCATAGCAGAGAAGTTGAGTCATGACTTGGATGGACGCCTCAGGGCACCAGGGTTGAAATGACCTGAGGAACCTGGAAGAGAAGGGCTGCAGGCTTCCAGGGTCTGGGCTGAGGAGATATTTGGGAAAAGCATCCAGGAAGATGAGTCCTGGCAGCAAAGGTGCAAGGGAAAAGCTACCTTAGCTGCAGAGGCTGATGGAAAAGAAATGAAATAGTGAACACAAGGATTAAAAAAACAACAACAACCAGTTGTTATCAAGCCGATTCTGACTCAGGGTGACCCCATGCGTGCAGAGTAAAACTGTGCTCCAGAGGGTTTCCATGGTTGTGACCTTTCAGAAGCAGACTGCCAGGCCTATCTTCCAAGGAGCTTCTGGGTGGGTTCAAACCACCAACCTTTCGGTTAGTAGCCAGCTCGTGTGCTCCAGCTGAGGACTCCTGTGAGCATGAAGAAGAGGTGGAAGTAAGAGAAAGTTCCAAGGAAGAACTTTTGCAGTAATGAGTTGAAGAGGAAGCCGTGCACATTGGGCAGGAGTTCTGGTTCTTTGTATTTAACTGCATGTAACCACGTAACACACACACACAGAGTCAGTTCCAGCACTGAGGGCAAATTGGCCTTAGGCCAGGAGAGCAATTCCGGACCCCACTGCCTGTCTTCCATTCTGTCCTCTGGAAGACAAGGTCCACACACATGCAGGGATTGTCTGGCTCCTGTGGAGTGCGGGTACAGGAAATCCAGGCGAGCGCCCTAATCCAGGCAGGTTACTATTACATGTGCAGTCAGCAGTGCAGCCCACTCCAAGGAGCCCCTAATGAAAGCCTCATGTGCCGACCTGGCTTGCACAGACACATTCAGGCTAATTCTAGCTGAACCTTGGGCAGAAGGGATGACCTCACCATTGGGCAAACCGCCGAGAGCCCAGGAAGAAGAGCTGTGTGTGGACCAGGATTGCTTCTAATAAGCCCGGCGGGAGGGCCGGAGCCCTACCCCTCCTGTGGCCCCCAGGTACCATGGTCTGTTGGCCAGGAGACCAGGTCTTCGTAGAGCTAAGACTTCTAAGCCCTGCTCCAAACACTCTTGTTTTTGTTGGCATCATCCCCGTAAAAATTTCTGCCTCTCCACATGTTTCGCCCCAAAGAGAAACTTAATTAGGTAGGGCCAGATCTCTATAGAGGATCCCCAGTTACAGAAGCTAGCAAGGAAGGATATAATTAGAATCTGATTTTTTTTTTTTTTTCTTTTTAACAGAACAGCTCAAAAGGCCCCATCAAGAGGCCACCAGAGTGCCATTGCCTGAGCTCAGAAAAATGTCCAATCCATCCAGACCCAGAACCTGGTACCCTGGGAACTTCACGTACCAGCATCTTCACAGAAACCAACCTCAGAGGGGGAAGTTTTCAATGACCTCTTTGCACACTTTCAATAACTGCAGGGAAGCAATTCTTTTTGCTTCCGCTGCTGCATTATTTTCTTATGTTCTACATACTGTAAATATTTTGTAGGCAACAAAATGAAACTTCAAGGAAGCCGCACTTCACAAAGAAATCAATGTGTTTTACCCAATGGGTTGGGGAACATTGGGGTTCAGTGGCAGAATTCTCACTTTTCATACCGGAGACCCAGGTTCGAGTCCCGGCCAATACACCTCATGCACAGCCACAACCCATCTGTCATTGGAGGCTTGCGTGTTGCTATGATGCTGAATAGGTTTCAGTGGAGCTTCCAGACTAAGATGGACCAGGAAGAAAGGCCTGGTGGTCTGCTTCCAAAGAACCAGCCAATGAAAGCCCCATGGATCGCAACGGTCCAATCGACAACTGATCATGGGGATGGTGCAGGACTAGGCAGCGTTTTGTTCTGTTATGCATGGGGTCACCATGAGTGGGGGCCAACTCCATGGCAGCTCACAACAACGACAACTTGATGGCTTACCACTGATACAGCTGAATCTTTGGGGCTTTGTTAAAGGAACACTAACAGAAATTCTCTACAAGATGTGCTTGTAAGGGCTGCCTTCAGCACTGGTAACTGAGTTTGATAAGCTGCAGATAAACTGGTGAAATCTGAAATCTCTGAAAGTGCATCCACAGAGGGAGCTTTTACCTGAGTCCTGGTGTGCACTTTCAGCAATGTTACCATGCGATTGCCCAGGAGACTCCAAGCTCCCATGGAATAGGGGCAGATTTGCAATAATATGCCCATGTCCAGTGAATGAATATGCAAAGAATGAGGATAGACTTTGATGAAAATCCCTAAATCTCATAGGTCCAACTCTCCCCACAAAGTCGCTGTTGTTAGCTGCTGTCAAGTCGGCCCCCGACTCATGGCAACCTAAAGCACAATGGAGCGAAACCCTGCCTGGTCCTGCTTCATCCCCATGATCAGTTGCAGATTGGACTATTATGATCCACAGGGTTTTCACTGGATGATTTTCAGAAGTAGATTGCCAGGCCTTTCTTCCTGGTTCATCTCAGTCTGGAAGTTCTGCCGAAACCTGCGTGACACTCTGGCAACACGCAAGCCTCCACTGACAGATGGGTAGTGGCCGTGCATGAAGTGCACTGGCCTGGAATTGAACCTGGTTCTCCTGCATGGAAGGCCAGAATTCTGCCACTGAACTACTAATACGTTACACCTGCCCACAACGGCCTCTGCTCTTTCTTATTGCATATTTTCTAATTCCACTTGCTTTTAGTCCATTTGACTAAGTTTTATTATAGGAATTGTGGGAGGAGATCAAAAGCACAAAAACTTCTTAATTCCATATTAAGATTTTTATTGTTTTAAGGAAGAGACTCTCTTTTTAAATATGTATGTCTGAAATGATGATGGAAGTCAACAGAAGAGATAGTTTGCTACAGAATGTGTGTTTTGCTGCAGCTTTTCAGAAGCACCTCTAAAATACAAAGCAAGGTCAAGTCGGGTCGCAATGGCTTGGTGAGCCACGATCAATCAGAGTTGTAATGACAAGGCTGGGACTGCGCATAACACTCAATACCCCTGACAGAACATCCTCTTGTGGATGAGAAAATAACTGTCTACAGATGCACTTGGTTTCTGGCGCTGGGGTTCACTCGCCACACTGTCACCCTTCTTACCATCCTTCCAACAGGTCCAGCAAGACAACAGAAGAGAGTCGCATTCTCCAAATGAGCCTGCAGGCTGAGCAAACATCTCCCACCATCATCTTTGTCTGTTCCTTCAAAGAGACTTTCCAGCTCCACCTCCTGGTTCATTTTACTTGGTCTATACTTTATGCTCAACTGGTTTGGGACGGACCCTGAGGGTTTTAGAGCAGGAAAGAGCCTTTAGCATTATCTAATGCAGAAGTTTCTCAGAACATGTTAAAAGCAGCGAAACCCTTTTCCCCAATGAGGCAGTACGTAGAAATTCAGTATATACAACACAAAAAAAAGGAGCTGTTACACCCATACGATGGAGTCCCTGGGTGGCAAATGGCAAAGCATTCAGCAGCTAATCTAATGGTTGGAGGTTCAGGTCCACCCAGAGGTGCCTCTGAAGAAAGGCTTGGCAATCTATTTACAAAAAAATCAGTCATTAAAAACCTCATGGAAAGCAATTCTACTCTGACACACATGGGCTCGCCACGAGTCAGAATCGACTCAAAGGCAACTAATATATCCATACAATGGAATATTATTTGGCAATAAAAAGAAATGAAGTACTGATACATGCTACAACATGGGTGAACTTTGAAAACATTATGCTGAGTGAAAGAAGCCAGTCATAAAGGAGCACATATTGTGTGATTCCATTTACATGAAATGTCCAGAAAAGGCAAATCTATAGAGAAAACAAGTGGTTGGCTAGGGCTGGAGGGGAAGAGTCGGATGTGACAACTAAGAGTTCAGGGTTTCTTTCAAGGATGATGAGAATGCTCTAAAATTATGGGAATGGTCACACAAATCTCTAAATATACTAAAAGCCACTGAATTATACACTTTAAATGGGTGAACTGTGTGATATGTGAATTCCATCTCAATAAGCTGTTTTAAAAAAGAAGACAAAGGAGCTGCATTGGCTGGGAAAAGACAGGAGGCTGGGGCTCCACCAGCCAGGCCCCCTTCTCCACCCCACCCTCTGCAGCAGCTCCAGAACCATCGGTGCAGTCCCCTTGAGTGCCATGGAATGCTCTTTGCAAACCCTCCTCTAGTCGGAGTCTCCATCCCTTGAGAATAACCGAGACTTGAACCCACGTCTTTTGACTCAAAGCGAAAGTCTCCTTGCTGAGTCAGGGGCTTGTCTCAGGAGCAGCCGCCGCCCCAGTCTTACCGTCCATGTCCAGGCGCTGCATGATGATGGCCAGCTCCACCTCACTCGGCATGTACCCCAGCGAGCGCATGGCCATGCCCAGCTCCTGCTTGGAGATGAAGCCATTCCCATCTCGGTCCAGAACCCGAAAGGCCTCACGGATTTCTACAAGAGGGAAGCAGAGAAAGTCCAAAGGTCACGTGGCTTGGCTTACTGCACCGACATGATTGGTGACTGTCTACTTATAGGTGTCCATGGCTGGTGCAAATAGTCAACACGCTCACCTGCTAACAGAAAGGTTGGAGATTCGAGTCCATCCAGAGGTGCCTCAGCAGAAAATCCTGGTGATCTACTTCAAAAAATCAGCCACTGAAAACCCTATGCAGCACAGTTCTACTCGGACACACACAGAGTCGCCATGAGTTGGACTCAACGGGACGGCACTGGTTCTTGGTTGGTCTACTACCGATGGCTCCTAACTGCTTTACAAATAGTAGGTGTTACAGCCCTTGGTCAGGTAAAAACAAAACCAAAACCAGCTGCCACCCGGTCGATTCCAACTTGGGGCAACCCTATGTGTTTCACAGTAGAACTGTGCTCCATAGAGTTTTCACTGGCTGCTTTATTAGGAAGGAGATTACCAGGCCTTTCTTCCACAGCACCTCTGGGTGGATTCAAACTGTCAACCTCTTGGTCAGTAGCCCCGTGCTTAACCATCTGCGCCACCCAGGGACTCCTTAATCAGATAAAAAAGAAGCCGGAAGAGAAAGAAAAGAAAGGAGAAAAAAGGGAAAGGAAGGAAAGAGTAGGGCCAGGTAGGGAAGGGAAAGGAAGAAGAAAAGAGCAAATGAAAGAGAAACCGCTTTAGAAGGAGGAGGTAACTGGCCGTGAGTATCTTTAAACACGGTGGTAGACACACAGTTAGGCATCGGTCTCAGCAGAAAATAGCTTTAACCAAGGATCTTTTCTGATCAAGGTTGAGGATGAGGTTTCAGCTGTGAGAAGAAAACAGCCCCTTAACTTTGGCCATTTGGAGCGAACAAGAATGAGATTCCCCTTTGCAGAATTCTCTTTCAGCCCCCTGCTGCTGTCGGAGCTGCCGTCCTCAGCCCCACAGGAGGATCGGCGCTAAGTATCCTGCTGATTCTATTTCAAAAAGTCCTATAATTTACAGTTGTTTTATGGCTATAAACAACCTCAGATCAATAAGAGTGTCAGAAAAGCCCATGCGGCATCTTTAATCACTCTCTCTCGGGTTGCGGAAAACAACTTTGCTACCAGAAAGATCCATTTTGCTCAGCAGGTGTTCTCCCGCCCTTTTTCCCCAAACCAGAGTGGCCGGGAACTCCATCCAGAGCCACGACCTCCAGAGCTCATGTGCTTGTTAGCCCTGGCCTGACTGGGGATTTCCTACCCGTCACACCCCTGAGAGGCAAGGCATGGGAAGCTGGAGACCACGGTCTGGAGATGGGAGACTTGCACTCCTATCTAAGCACCAGACCTAGACCAGCGTTGACTTTTCACCAATAAACCCTGCTCAGCACAAGCCCAGCCGTGGCAGCTGCCAACATGCAGCCTGCCATTCAACAAGTACCCCCTATGTTACCTGAGGAGCACAGTATTAAGCAACACAGAGAAAGGAAAAATGAGGCACCGGGCATATAGTTCTCCAAAGCCCTAGCTTTGAATCAGGAAGGCAAGATACACACAGGAAACTTTTGATAACTCTTCAAACTAATAATACAAGACACTCGGCCCCAACCCATTGCCTATTCTTATTTCTTATTTCCTCTCTAAGTGTTTGACTAAACTTGTGGCAAATACCTCCAACTACACAGCATTTTCCAAACAGGCTCTATGCTTTCCTCTGTGTACTAGTTTCCTGTGGCTGCCACACCAAATTACCACAAACTAGGGGTGAGGGGTTGAGGGGCTTAAAACAGCAGAACCTTATTCTCTCACAGTTCTGGAAGCCAGAAGCCCAGAATGAGTATCACCGTATCGCAGTAGTTAAGCGCTTGGCTGCTAACCAAAAGGTCAGCAGTTCGAATCCATTAGCCGCTTCTACTCTGTCCTATAGGGCCACTATGAGCCAGAATCGGCTCGATGGCAACAGGTCGGGGCCCAAATCAAAGCGTCTGCAGGGCCATACACCCTCTGGAGGCTCTGGGGGGATCCATTTCTTGCCTGTTCCAGCTTCTGGTGGCTGCTGGCACTCCTTCGCTGGAGGCCACACCACTGCAATCTCTGCTTCCACCTCTCCTGTCCGCTTATAAAGACCCTTGTGATTGCACTTACGGCTCCCTCAGATAATTCAGAATAATCTCCCCCTCTCAAGCTCCTTAATCACGTCTTCAAAGGCCCCTTTTCCAAGGTAACATTTACAGGTTCCAGGGATCAGGACTTGACATCTTTGGGAGCCATTATTCAGCCTAGGGAGCAGTGGTGGTTCAGTGGTAGAATTCCTGCCTTCCATGCAGGAGATCAGGGTTCGATTCCTGGCCAATGCAGATCATGCACAGCCACTACCTGCTTGTCACTGGAGGCTTGTGGGATGCTATGATGCTGAACGGGTTTCAGAGGAGCTTCCAGACTAAGACAGACTAGGAAGAAAGGCCTGGCAATCTACTGCTGATAATCAGCCAGTGAAAACCCTATGGATCACGATGGTTTGATTCTGTTGTACATGGGCTCTCCTCGAGTTGGGGACCGACTCAGTGGCAGTTAACAACAACAACATCCAGCCTACTACATTATCCCGAGCCAGTACTTCCATTCAAAACACCTTCCCTTCCCCTTAACCTCTCCAAACCCTGTCTTGGTGATCTAGTGCTGCTATAACAGAAACACCACAAGTGGGTGACTTTAACAAACAGAAATGTTTTCTCTCACAGTGTAGGAGGCTAGAAGTTCGAATTCAGGAAGCTGGCTCTAAGGGAAGGCTTTCTCTCTATTGGCTCTGGGGGAAGGCCCCTGTCTCTTTTCAGCTTCTGTTTCTTGGTCCCTTGGGGTTCTCATGTGGCCTGGTATCTGTCTTCTCCCATCTCTGCTTTTCGTTTTTTTGGTTGCCTCCTTAATCTGCTCTCTTGTATCTCAAAAGAGATTGATTTAAGACACACCCTACATTAATATCGCCTCATTAACATAACAAAAAAACCCTATTCCCAAATGGGATTACAACCACAGGTATAATACAATTTACAACACATATTTTTGGGGGACACAATTCAGTGAAATTCATGTCCTTTCAATATACAAAACACACTCACTCCATCACATCACCCCAAAAGTCTTAACTCCAAGTCCAAAATCTCATCTTCTGAAGCATCTAAATCAAATATGAGTGAGACTCTAGAGGTATTCGGCCCTGGGGTAAAATTCCTCTTCATCTGTGAACCTGTGAGTCTAGACTACAAGTTATCTGCTTCCAAAGTACAATGGTGGGACAGACACAGGTAGACATTTCCATTACAAATGGGAGAAACTGGAGGGAGAGAAGAGAAAGCATCCTTCAAGGTCAAGCCAGGTGCCTTATTCCACAGAAACGTCTCTGCTCACCACAGCCAAAGTTATCTCCCTTCCTGACCATTCAGCAGTTCATGTATCCCTCCCACACAGCACCTAGCATGGCCCATCCTGAAATACAGTGACTGCGTACAAATCTGGCTTCCCCACTGAGCTGCAAGCTCCTTATGCATTTCATTCATCTCTGTCTATTCACCACTCATAGCCCAGTGGGCACGCTAGGTAGCCGGGTGTTGAGTGGATGGTGGGTCTGAATAGATACGGATCATGTATTATCAGCAAATTCATTATTAATATGAATTCAGCACACTGAATGCTCTCTGTGAATAGAAGTGGGCTCCAGCTAAGAAAAGCCCAGCCTGTGCTTCGGGACCCTCGGCTCCCGGCCAGGCATAATAGCCAATTACGTGTCCAGCCAACGCCGGAGGCCTCAGTTTGCTCATGTGGCAAATGAGCTGGGCTGGCCGCGGTGATCCTCAAAGTCCTTTCTAGCTTTCCTTTCTTCAGATCTGTGGATGCCGTTAACATTAACATGTTTAAGGGAAGTACAGGAGGCCTGTGTTCTATTACCCACCCTGTTAATCTGTCCCTCAAAACCCTCTTTTGTTTTTTTTCCATTAATGGCACAGAAACAAATTTCAGTCCAGCCCAATTTCTGAACCAAGGGGTTTGTCTGAATTTTTTAGATTTTCCTGTATCGAAACAAGCCCACGATTACAAATCGGAGGCAGCCATGTGCTCTCCTGGCCAGTCCCAAGGGGTCTGAGAAGTGGGCTGCTCAGCTTGTAGCCGTGGAGCACAGCAAGGAGCAGCGACTGCGGCCACATGCAGTGGAGTCAGGGTCCCCAGGCGGAAGGGCAGGAGGAGGCAGCGCGGGTTTCCTGAAGTGGGAGTGAGCCCCCGCAGTTCTGGCCCCGGCCCTGAGACCTTGGCAGGCTTCTCTCTCAGCCTCAACTTCCCCATCTGGAAAATGGGTGGGGCTGGCCCTCCTCCCAGCCTCTGCAGCAGGGTTTTACATTGTGGCTGACTCATGTGATGCAACAGCAGAAAACGTCAGGTGATGCTGGGTCAGTGGACGGCCACCTGCCGGCTGAGCGCTGGCCCTAGCTCTCAGTACCCTCCGTGGCCAAGGCAGCATCTCCACTTCTGGCCCTTCTGACTCCATCCTCAACTCCCTAGACTGTTACTATGACCCAGACAGGCTGGTCCCCTTTTGTTTACAGGACCCCACCTCTTTCCTGGGGTCCCCCTGGAAACCCTAGATCTCATCCATGACCTCCAACCCAAATCCTTACACTGGACAGCCCAGAGAGGCCTGGCTGGGGGGTGCTTGAGAACGTGGCTGGGAGATGAGGGCCTTGGTGGTTCTGCCTTCCTCCCCCATCCCCATCCAGCCCCAGCCCCGCTGGTACCTGGGCACTGCCATAGTGCCCTGCCCTTGGGCGACAGGATTTGGCAAGGCAGATCTTAGATGGAGGGCACCCCCAGAACTGGCCTGAGAAGAGGGACTTTCTCCTTCAAGACTTCTGACCCTTACGGGGTGCCCTGTCTGTAGCATGGGGCCAGGCTGGCCCTTCCCGGAACAACACCAGACAGAGCAGACGCTTATCAGTACATGGTTCTGTGTTCTGTGGCCCCAG